ATGGGTAGACAATGCACAGACAAATTTGCATACAAGAAGCCTCAGCGTGCTTGAAAATGAACTGCATAGATACTAAATTGCTGCCCCTCCTGCGCCTGTACAAGGCTCCTAACACGCTATCTCCTCTTTTACAGAAAGCTGGCACTTTCTGTATAAATTCAATTAATTAGAATCCCCTTTCATTGAAAAGTTAATATATTTCATTGACTTATTTCCATTAATGAAACATTATTTAGATTTTATGCACAGACTAATGTTTTGAAACCTTTCTGTAAGGATTTTCTATGGGATTTAGAATAATCATTGTATATTAGCCTGCTCACTGAGGCTGCGCAGTGGGTAGCACTGCTGCCTTGTAGCAAGAAGGTTCTGGGTTTGATTCCTGCATGTTCTCCCTGAGCATGCGTGGGTTCTCTCCGGGTACTCCAGCTTCCTCCCAAATTGACAGCTGGAGATAGGCACTAGCACCCCTCGCGACCCCAATTGGGACAAGCGTGTCAGATAATGGATGGATGGATGCATATTAGCCAAAAAACAACAAAGATGTACTTGACAAATACAGATCATTGAGGATTTATGCAGTTTTGGGGTTTTAATAATATTTTATGTACTGTGTCAAGTGATTTTTAATTATTTGATTTTGTAAAAAAAATCAAAGTAATACAAAAGTCAAACATCTGACAAATAAGCCTCACTGAAATAGTTTTATTTATTGAAAATGACTGTATTTCCCATCCATAAAGTTACGGCTTCATTTGTTCTTGAAACCTGGTTTGAGCCAGGCCACCTCAGCACCATGTCTGACAGGTTAACCAGGCAACATCAGCTATTCTTTACACAACAAAGTGTAAACAGGTTCATCCACTCAAAAGGAAAAAGTACTAGTTGTTACAAGTGTGTTCATTGAGTCTAGCTTAGTTTTATAATTCAATGCAAAACAGTAAATATTTCTGGGGATAATTTAATTTAAATTATACAGGCTGCACTACTGCATGGATATTCCAGTTAACTAATATCAATGCAGCAGTGCAGCCTGTGTTGTGCACCATTTCATTTTTTTACCTGTTTTCAGGTAATTCTCTTTTCCTTTGAATTTTATTTTCAGCTCTGATTGCTACAGTAAAGTCAACTCTTCCATTGTTTAGAAAAATAGGAAGAGATATTCTGTCTTTTTTTTTTTTTTTTCCCAAGGAGTTTAACTGACTTAACTTTTGGATAAATAACTGGTTTTACTTACTTTAATGTGGCATCCAAGCTGTCTTGACTCAACTCTTCATCCATATTACTGATCTCCTCCGTAGCCTCACACACTGTAGTAATAAAGGCCAAGTAGAGAAAAATATCTGTCGCTCAAGATACTAACATTTAAATGCAAAGCTCTCTGCAAAAAAGAAAGCGTTGCTTCATTTTCTGCCTCAAAGTCTCCACCTAGTGGCCATTATCGGTAACAGACGCTGGAATGATGCATTATTTTAATATTATTGGGTAAATGTATTGAATTATTTACATATTTCCACCCTTAATTAAATCTACATATTAATCTGTTAAGCAATATTGTCACTACATAATTCATTTCACAACTGCTTTTTTTCTTTTCAGTATATGTTGGTATAATGAGATATTCTAGCTTGAAAAGTGTCCTTTAAAGTAAGGACTTATATATATATATATGATTAGAGGAGTAACTTTGATTAAATCTCTGTTTCTTTTAACCCTTTAAACCCAGAGGGTCTCAAATTCTGCCTGAAATTACACATGTAAATTAAAGCAAGTACAGCTTCCAAACTATAAATTGGGTAAAAAAAAATAGTTTGTATTTGTAAGACAGAAAGGCTTTGAGGAATATCTTTCAGGTGGAAACACTATTTTAAATGTCACCATGTTGGATTTACCGGCGATTAAACACAGAAAGAATAAAAAGATATTTAGCTATACCATTTTTTTTCATCCAAAATAAACACTGCAAAGGACAATAAAACCCCATTTGAAACTCCGGATGACATCACAGACTTTGTAGATCCACATCTTGACTATAACTCAAACAAATTTGAAATGAATAAATTGAAGCATGTTTGTTCCACAAAGGTTTTAGTAGGCAGTGTGCTAGGCGGAAATGTGATTTTCCATTCATAAAAGGGAATCTGGCCAAACAAATATGTTAATTTATATTTTTGGAGATCCTCTGCTTAAGACAAAGCCTTTGCTCCTAAGATTTAGTCCTTGTTTCATTGAAATTTACAATTGAACACACAATCATATCAACAAATTCAATAGAAAATAAAAATAACAGAGCAAGCATATTTAACAGATGCTAGTTACATCACCTGAAATAGTTACCCAATTACATCCAACCCCTCCCTGGAAATGTCTGAGCCTCTAGTTTCCAATGATGCCAACCATCAGGGGGTGTGGCTAAAAATGAATACCTGCTGTTGCATTACTCCTGCAGATTCACATATTTCAGGTGGAATTTCAAATCTCATTTTATTTGTTTACACAGCTATAAATCAAATAGTATTTGTAAAAAAAATCCTTTTGAAACATGTTTTAGAAATTTTTCAAGCCCTGATTGAAGCGCATGTAGATGAAACACCATGTGACAGTTTTTTGACCATTTCTATAAATAAATAAACATGAGCAGGTGTCAGATGGGCCCGGTACCCCATCTGGGTTCAAGGGGTTAAGTTAAAGCCACTCTCCTAAATTCTAAATATATTTTTGTTAAAAGGAAAAAATAAATTCCAATTTCTCAAAACATTTTGCCAAGAATATAAGTTACAAGAGCTTTAGCTCCATCTGGTGGATAAAGAAGAGAATTGCACTCAAAAACTGAGTCATTTTTTTTTATTATTTTTTAAAAGATAAAAAAGTAAAAAACAGTGAACAAAGAACAAAAGCAACCTATATATATATATATATATATATATATATATATATATATATATATATATATGTAAAACTTTGGTATATATTTATTTATATATTTTATAAGTTATTATAAGTAAGATGAACACAGTCAACTATTGAACAAAAAAATGAATAAAAAAATCACACAAAAAGGTTTATCAATTCTTCACAATGTATTAAGTGAATAAAAAACTAATTACTGTAAATTAACCAGCCTGAGCTGGAAAATTAATAAGATACAGTGGGGCAAAAAAGTATTTAGTCAGCCACCAATAGTGCAAGTTCTCCCACTCAAAAAGATGAGAGAGGCCGGTAATTTTCATCATAGATATACCTCAACTATGAGAGACAAAATGAGAAAAAAAAATCCAGAAAATCACATTGTCTGATTTTTAAAGAATTTATTTGCAAAATATGGTGGGAAATAAGTATTTGGTCAGTTACAAACAAGCAAGATTTCTGGCTCTCACAGACCTGTAACTTCTTCAGTAAGAGGCTCCTCTGTCCTCCACTCGTTACCTTCATTAATGGCACCTGTTTGAGCCCGTTATCAGTATAGAAGACACCTGTCCACAACCTCAAACAGTCACACTCTAAACTCCACCATGGCCAAAACTAGAGAGCTGTCAAAGGACACCCGAAACAAAATTATAGACCTGCACCAGGCTGGGAAGTCTGAATCTGCAATAGGTAAACAGCTTGGTGTGAAGAAATCAACTGTGGGATCAATTATTAGAAAATTGAAAACATACAAGACCACTGATAATCTTCCTCGATCTGGGGCTCCATGCAAGATCTCATCCCGTGGGGTCAAAATGATCACAAGAACGGTGAGTAAAAATCCCAGAACCACACGGGGGGACCTAGTGAATGACCTGCAGAGAGCTGGGACCAAAGTAACAAAGGCTACCATCAGTAACACACTACGCCGCCAGGGACTCAAATCCTGCAGTGCCAGACGTGTCCCCCTGCTTAAGCCAGTACATGTCAAGGCCCGTCTCAAGTTTGCTAGAGAGCATTTGGATGATCCAGACGATGACTGGGAGAATATCATATGGTCAGATGAAACCAAAATAGAACTTTTTGGTAAAAACTCTACTCTTCATGTTTGGAGGAAAGAGAATGTTGAGTTGCATCCAAATAACACCATACCTACAGTGAAGCATGGGGGTGGAGACATCATGCTTTGGGGCTGTTTTTCTGCTAAGGGAACCAGGACGACTGATCCGTGTGAAGGAAACAATGAATGGGGCCATGTATCGTCAAATTTTGAGTGAAAACCTCCTTCCATCAGCAAGGGCATTGAAGATGAAACGTGGCTGGGTCTTTCAGCATGACAATGATCCCAAACACACCGCCCGGGTAACGAAGGAGTGGCTTCGTAAGAAGCATTTCAAGGTCCTGGAGTGGCCTAGCCAGTCTCCAGATCTCAATCCCATAGAAAATCTTTGGAGGGAGTTGAAAGTCTGTGTTGCCCAGCGACAGCCCCAGAACATCACTGCTCTAGAGGAGATCTGCATGGAGGAATGGGCCAAAATACCAGCAACAGTGTGTGAAAACCTTGTGAAGACTTACAGAAAACGTTTGATCTCTGTCATTGCCAACAAAGGGTATATAACAAAGTATTGGGATGAACTTTTTTTATTGACCAAATACTTATTTTCCACCATATTTTGCAAATAAATTCTTTAAAAATCAGACAATGTGATTTTCTGGATTTTTTTTTTCTCATTTTGTCTCTCATAGTTGAGGTATATCTATGATGAAAATTACCGGCCTCTCTCATCTTTTTAAGTGGGAGAACTTGCACTATTGGTGGCTGACTAAATACTTTTTTGCCCCACTGTATAAAAACTACACCTACATCTTAGAAGAAGATTTACAAAGAATAACTAAATATTTCCAATCTTAGAGAAATAGCTAGGGAACTTCATTCAACATCAACAGCAAAATAAAGCATTCTGATACCAACCCAGAAGAATGGTGAATATCAGCAGGAGGTTTAAAGCTTTTACCTTTTTTCTCTTCTGTTTTATCTATATACAGAAATATTTTTTTTTTTTATTTGTGTTTTTCTATATTACATCCCAAAGTTCAGCAGCATTAGATAACAGCAGGTATATAATTCTTTTTGGCCGGTGTGGCAGGCATCAAGTATCGGACTCTCTTCCAGAACCTTGAGTTCCCTTCTGAGGCTTTCTTTGAGCTCTCTGACCACCTGAGGGGGGCGCTCTTACGGATCAGATGCTGCAGGCTTGGAGGAAGGTGTGCATAATCTTGTGGCCATGTCTCCCCAAGCTGGATCAGAATTACACTCATCTCGCTCTGCACCAGTGCATGGTGGAGCCCGACCTGGAAAATATGAAAAAACTTTAAGATCACCAGGATTGGAAAAAAAAAAAACAAACAACCATTGATTCACTATTTTGATCTCTCTGAACAGCACATAGAAAAGTGATTTAGTGCATTGCAAAGGAAACCCAAAGAATCAAAATCAAAATAATAGAAACTGAATTAACCCTTCATCCCCAGAATGCTACCTGCCAGTCCAATCCTCCGATGGCTGAGGTTTGGTCTGAGGCGTGACTTCTCATTTTTGATCCTGATCCTGGTGTGAGGATGATCATCAGCCTCTTGCTTTGCTTAATGCAGCTCTCCACCATCTCCACATGATCTGTTTAACCACAAAAATACATTTAAGTCTGGTTCGCACATCGAGATTTTAAAATTGTCTTGGATAGAACAGTTTCGGTTGTACAGTGTGTCTCAGGCCACACATCAAGTATTCATCTATTTTAGACAAAACTTTCAGTTATCAGGCAGTTCTTCTTGTTAAATCCAGAGTGAGTTTCGTTGCTTTGTACTTGTGACAATGTAATAATAATAAAGCTGAATTCTATTCTATTTCTAGTTAACAAAAATGGTGGATGAGGCAGACGTGATGGTGATAGTGGGTGTGTTTGATTTCACCGGCTGCGTTCTCCAGAGGACCCGGTCTACCTGGACTCAGGATACGCTCAGTCGCTTAGCAACCATGACACAGGCAAAAACATCAATTGCAAATTCTCACTACTGATCTGTATGCTAACTACATTTTCATGGAGTTTCAGCAGCAGAACCATCGTCGCAGAAATCAGATTTGTAATCCCCACACTGCAGAGATACTGGATTCCCTGCTTACATGTCAGCCAAACCCATTTGCACAGAGACAGATAAAACCTTTCCATAAACCAAACATTAACCCCCACATATCTGGCTCAAAAACTATTTCAATTAACTATTCTCATTCATTTCTGGAGAAACTATTCACATACTTGTATTATATTAAACTAAACTTACAATATTCTCCACTGTTCTGCACCATTTTCCTTTTTCCTCTGAGCACAGAGCAGCCGGCTTGCTTGGACTCGCAATGAGTCATGGGATATCCAAGACCACATAGGATACACTGGATCTGTCGTTCAGAACCAGCATAAAGAAAGTAGCATTTGTTGACCGCATAACAAGGAGTCTTCCAATTTGAACAGGCCACGGCGCCAAACTATGACGTAATCGGCAGACGAATCTGGCCTTCAGAGGATGCAGCCCTTGAATTCAAACTCAGTGAGTGTGTGGGCCTCCTTTATGAAAAAAGCATTAAACAAGGCTACACACAGGATAGGATATTGGGCCAAGACAATCCAACATGTCGGATTTCTTTGATTTACGATCCTTGCGGTCCTGTCGTTCTTTCGAGTAGATCCGATCCCTCCTTTAACACTACGGCAAAGATTTCTGCCTGATCTTTTTCTTTTCAGGAAAATCAGGGAGAAATCAGCAGGAATATTTTGCTATTTGACCCCAATTGAGGTCATGTGCTTTTCATCCTGTGAGGTGCACTAACTCCAAACATTGGTCTTCCTTTCCTGTGCCTTGCAAAAGTATACAAATCCCTTTGTATTAAAAAACTTTTGTTTTTTTATGTGATAGACCAACTAAACAAAATGCAGAATTGTGAAGTTGAAGTCACACGAATAAATACCTAAATATTATGTTCTGTCTGTCTGTCTGTCTGTTTGTCTATCTATCTATTATATATATCTATATAAATGAGGTCATGCCTAAAAGTATAGATTCTTAATTAACCTTTTCTGTATGAAAGAAAAATATGGATACAAGAGGTAAGTAAATAGATAAAAAAAAAGGATAAAACAAATTATTAATTTAATGCATGGTCCCCAAGTCGGATTGACATTTTTAATTTTACAAATAGAAACCTTAAGACTTCTGCTTGTGTCACATGTTTAGAGTACAAAATGTTACAGTCAAAATCTTTCTTAGAAGTTGAGGCTGTAGAACCGGATTTATTCACCTTCACCGCAGCATCTGCCTGCTCCTATAGGTGATAAGCAACTGGTAGTCATATCAGTTAAAATCAAAACTCTGCAACTTCTAAAAATACCTTTAGGTCTGGTCTTGATTACAGCTTCATCTAGCAAGATAGACGAGAAATCCTTGACAGAAACCGCTGAGTTTTTTTTTTTTTTTTTACATCCGGCAGCTTACAAGCTGTACAACCTGCACAAAGATCAGATTTTCTGGAGGCAATCATAGTTTCTGTATTTGTCTCTACCAGTACAGCAAAGGGCCTTATGTATAGCAGCTTGATCAACTTTACAGCCCAATTATCCACTGCAGGTTTGGGGAACTGCAGTGGATAATTGGAAGACATCTTTTATGTATGTTAAGAATAAAGCAGTATTTTTTTTTCAACCATATTGAATAAAAATTGCCCACAAATGCTCTTTATCCTGTCTCATTGATCTATGTAAAATGGGCAAATGTGGAAGGCTGGTAGACATGAGGTAGACATGTACCACAAAAGGCTTGTAGTTGTAATTGCAGGAGGATGCATTTTTTTTAAAACGGTACTGAGAAAACCTTGATCATCAACATTGTAGCTGTGCAACACTTTGTTTTTCTCTATTACATAAAATCACAACCAAATTCACAGAAACTTTATAATCGTAATAAAACAAAAAATGTTCAAGATGTATGAATGCTTCAGCAGAGTGATGTATGTTTTTGTTAGAAGTTTTTCTGCTGCAGATACTTGCTCTATAAGCCTAACTGGAGGAATAAATGGATGCAATGCTAACCTTCCCCAGGGATGTCATCTCTCCCGTGGATGAAGAGTCTGTATCCACACTGATCCTCAAGCACTGAGGGCAGAATCTTTGTGACAAAAGTGGAAAGTGTTTCCTCTGTCTCCTCATCTAAGCTCTCCGTCTGGTAAACAACATAGGCATCGTACATTCTGGTGTCTGGGGAAAACAACAATGAAAAGGAATTTGTTTTCTCAGTCATTAAATATAATTCAGTGCATGATAGCACAAGATCTGTGTAAGTATTTTTTTTTTTTTAAACAATGCTACCAACAATAAAAGAAAAACACAACTTGGTGTATGTCAGTATAGGCCATTTACCATGGCAACACTTAAATCAATGTTGCTGGAAAATTTTAATGTAATCCTCCTTTTATTTGTTAAAGGGATTAAAAAACAACCTCAGCCTGAACTTTTTGGCACAGGCAAGAAACTCATATTTATATATATATATATATATATATATATATATATATATATATATATATATATATATATATATATATATATATATATATATATATATATATATATATATATATATATATATATATATATATATATATATATATATATATATACATACATATATATACATACATACACACTACCGTTCAAAGGTTTGGGGTCACCCAAACAATTTTGTGTTTTCCTGAAAAGTCACTCTTATTCACCACCATACGTTGTGAAATGAATAGAAAATAGAGTCAAGACATTGACAAGGTTAGAAATAATGATTTGTATTTGAAATAAGATTTTTATGACATCAAACTTTGCTTTCATCAAAGAATCCTTCATTTGCAGCAATTACAGCATTGCAGACCTTTTAAAGTTAAGACTAGTTTAAAGTTATCTTCATTGAAAAGTACAGCGCTTTTTCTTTAAAAATAAGGACATTTCAATGTGATCCCAAAATTTTGAACGGTAGTGTATATATTTCCAAAAACGGCTACAAGATGGCAAATATGCATCTATATCTAGCGTGAATGAGATGTCGTGTTCGGAGAGGAAAGCACAAACCCTTATTTTTAACCAGCCATTCCAGTCGCCATTTATGTTTGATACCTTTATCTATGGTGGTTACATCTTCCCCAGAGTTCATGAACTGCATTGTGGTCACTCCATGCAATTCTGTTCTCTCTATCGTCTTTCTTTCCAAACACAAAGTTGGAGCTGTAAATGGCGCAATGTGACTTTCTGTGTAAAACTTCAGCACTGTACCACAATCTACAGTATCTGGCAACTTGAGCAAGTTGCCGGATAGATTGTTTGGCTAATACCGTTAGTTACAGGGTTTTTTTTTTTTGCTACCATTGGCTGACAAATGAAAGAGGAATTTCAATTGTCTTTTTCTTTTTATTTACCGTCAATTTATTTCAAGTGATTTTTTTTTTTTTAACCATCGGCAATCGCTACAAGCCGGAAATCCAGCCTGGGGCTGGAATACTTTAATCCCTTTTATTACAAACTCTAATTATTTATAAATAGTTTAAGGCCAATATTTTCCTTTTTTGTTTATAAAACAGAGAAGATTTTTATTTTTTTCGCTTGCAAAAAGTAACTGGGTACAGTAAAGTCAAATTTTGCTTGGGCAATTTTTCCTTTTATTCAAGTAATTTTACTTGTATTTGAGTAAGATGTTTCTCTAAATCCCTACATTTTTAATTTCTTTTCCACCCCGTCCACCTCTGCACAGCACTATGTGCTGTGCAGGAGATGATGTGGTGATTTGACATGTCAATCATCAAACCTTACATTATTTAAAAGTTTTTTTAATTTACTGCTACAGTGTTGTTGATCATGCTGGGTTATACACACATTTAATGTACACACATATTTTTTATGTTGAATAATTTTAAATGCTCAAAAATAAAGGGAACATTGAAATAACATACAAGATCAGAATGAATTGAATTTTATCATTGAATACTTTGTTCTGTACAAAGTTGAATGTGCTAACAAAAAAATCACAAGAAAATCATTAATGGAAATCAAATTTATTAACCAAAGGAGACCTGGAATTGGAGTCAAACACTAAATTAAAGTGGAACAAAATACACTACAGGCTTATTCAACCTGTATGTCCTTAAAAACTGGTCAAAATGAGGCTCAGAATTGTGTTTGGCCTTAAGTTCCCGACAATGCTTGGGCATGCTCCTGATGAGGTGGCAGATGGTCTCCTAAGGAGGCTCCTCCCAGATCTGGACCAAAGCATCCGCCAGCTCTTGGACAGTCTGTGGTGCAATGTGAAACTGGTGGATGGATCAAGACATGATGTCCCAGATGTACTCAATTGGATTTAGGTCAAGGGAAAGGGCGGGCCTGTACATTACTTCAATGCCTTCAACTTGCAGGAACTGCTGACACAATCTACCCAAATTAGTTTGAACATTTTTCTACCTTAGAATGAACCCAGGTAAAACCATACCACCATATGGTCTCACCAGCGGTCTGAGGAACTCATCTCGGTAACTTATGCCAGTTATGCTAACTCTGTCGCGCACCTGTAGTAGTCAAGACCACACCAAACGAGACTGAGGAGTATGGAGACAAGATAAAGACCTTCAGAGACCAAGACAAAGACCACATAAGCTCTTGATCTAGGTCTCTGCCTCTACATGTCTTACTCTTGTCTTAGTCTCAACCTTTAAAGGTCTTGGCCTTGTCTCAGTCTCGGTACTCCTTGGTCTCGGTTGCTGTGGTCTTGACTACAGCCCTACATTGAGGGCTGTGTGGCGCTCCAAAGAATACCACCCCACATCCTCCCTGGCCCACTGCCAAACCGGTCAGCTGAAGGATGACCGGTTTTGTCTAGATGAAGGACAGCAGACTCTGGCACTCCTCTGACGTGCTTAGTATTAACCTGCTTTCATCTGTGAAGAGCACAGAGTGCCAGTGGCGAATTTAACCATCCTGTTGTTTTCCGGCAAATGCAAAATATTGTGTTTGGCTGTGACCACAACTCCCATTTGTGGACGTCGGGTCCTTATAACATCCTCATGGAGAAGGTTTCTAACTGGTTGTTCAGACACATGCACATTTGTGGCCTGCTGAAAGTAATTTTGAAGGGCTGTGGCTCTGCTCCTCCTGTTCCTCCTTGGACAAAAGGGCAGGTAGCAGTCCTGCTGCTCAGTTGTTTCCCTCCTATGACCTCCTCCATGCCTCCTAGTGTACTGGCCTGTCTCCTGGTAGCTCCTCCAGCCTCTGGACACTAAGCTGACAGACACACCTTCTTTGCACACCTCGCATTGATGTTCCATCCTGGATGAGTTGCACTACCTGAGCAACTTACGCAGTTTGTAGAGTCCGTCTCATGCTACCACAAGTGTGAAAGCGCCACCAACATTCAAAACATAAGCCAGAAAGCATAGGTATTGAAAACACTCTGTTTTATTGAGTGTTTTGCTAATTGCAAAAAAAATGTCCACCTGTTCCATTTGCACAGCAGCATGTTTGTAGCAAACTGACTGTCAATCAGTGTTGCATCCTAAGAAGACAGTTTGATTTCACAGAAGTTTGATTGTAATTGTATTGTGTGGTTTACATGTTCCCTTTATTTTCTTGAGAGTTGTAATAGAAATGCACCGATGCAATATATGGCTTAAATATTGACTAATTGGCTGGATCAGATATCCGTGATTTAATATCAGCAAAATCACTTTACAGAGCACTTATTCATTTCTCTTTATCTGTTAAAAATATTATAAAGTACAGTTATATCTATGCTTATTTATTACTTTTTTTATGTTTATCTCGAGGCTAAAGCTCTCACTCACATCGGATTGCTATCTGATATCGGCCAATAGGCTCAGCCCAGGTATCTGTATCAGCTAAAACTGGATTTGTGCATCTCTACTAACTGGTATAGCAAAATTGCCCATTTACACACAAAAAAAATATAGAATATGATTCTGTGTTGTACACAGATGAGGAGAGATGAAACAGCATCACTTTCTAGACACTGATTAGACAATCCATTAATATTACCAAAGGTCAGATAGATGCATATTGACCAAAAAGGTAGACCACAGCTGTCTGCATACACAGCTCAGGTAATAATTGTAAGACATACATAACAGTGTTCCTCTTGCTATCTGACAATGCAGACTTGTATTTTATTATTATAGACAAGTACTGTTGGATCGTGTTAGACAAAACAATTATGCTATTTAACATTTTTTTATCATCAATAATTTACAGTTGGTACAAGAGGTGTTGAAATAATGCATTCTGTCTTTTTTTTTAACAGCTTTCCCTTTTGATTTATAGCAAGCTTCAGATTCTCTTTTTCCTTTCAAATAAAATATTAGATATAAATAGTACCTTTTTTGTGTCTTGTTGATGTGAAGTAGGGCCTGAACAACAGAACCAGGTCAGTGGCAAAATATTTCACCAGAGCAGTGGTGAACACACCGATTAGTGACACACACATTATTTTGATAATGAGGGTAGTGACTGTCTCTGGAAGAGAGAAAACAATTCCCATAACAAAACCAACAAAACAGCAAATAATTGTGCAAATGTAACCAGATATTCCCCAAACTGAGAGTTCAGAGTGCCTCCTACAGGAATATTAACATAGTATCAGCAGCCAGATGATCAACAGCCAAACTCAATTATAATAAAACTGGTTTATTTAAACCAAACTACGATGTTCCTCTTATATTGGGCAAATTTATGTTTGAATATTTTGCAAAAATATGTTGCTGTGCATGATGGGATTTTGCATCTGTTTACATTATTCCATTTCATTGGCCACATGCCAGCTAGACTAGCAGTGAATGCTTAAACACTGCTGACCTGCCTTAAGTGGGTGTAGATCGAAAAATAAAAAGGGCCGAAAATCATTCCCAGTCCGAGCCTGTTCAGCTGTATCTGTTTAAAAATATAGATGAAACTAATCAGTTATATAGATTACAGGGCTGTTTTGAAGTAAAAAAACTAGGTTACTCTTGACTTTCTGCTTCTGCATGCTGAAAAAACAGAAGTTATAGTCTTTGGATCGGAGTCTTCAAAAAAGAAGCGGATTAGTAAGTAATTTCATTTGGATGGGATTAAATTGATCTCAAGTAATAAAGTAAAAAAATCTTGGTCTTATTTTTTTTTTCCTTTTTTTCCTTTTTTAAATCCTATATCAAAGAGGTTTCTGGAATGTCCTTCTTTGATCTGCTGAAATATTGTTAAAATCAGAAATATCCTTTCTAGGGGTGATGCTGAGAAACTAGTCAAAGGATTTGTTATTTCAAGGCTTGACTATTGTAATTCTTTAATATCAGGAGCCCAAAAACCTTAATTAAAAAGGGAGATCGTATTTATCCTATAGTAGCTTCTCTTGATGGCTTCCTGTGTAAATTCAGAATAGAATTTAAAATTCTCCTTCTCACATATGAGGCACATAAGCCTAATTTCTAAAAGTAGAATGGGATGCAGTACTATTAGTTATTAGTGGAACCAACTACCAGTTTTAGCCCATGAGGCAGATACTCTATAGATAAGCTGTTATAGGCTTAGACAGCTGGAGGACATGGGGACCCCTTTTCATCATTCTGCTTCATTCTATCTCTATTTTCCAACTCTGCAGTATTTGCTAATTCAACCTCTAATGTTAAGCTCTCTTTACTTTTTTCTAATGATAGTAGCTTCATCTGGTCCTGTTTGGCTGTGACACCATCCTTGAGCGAAATATCAGTTGATTTTCCTTAGGAGAATTAAAACCAATCAGATTGTATGATCTGGTTGTATGTCTCTGTAAAATGCCTTGAGATTACATGTGTTGTGAATTGGTGTTATATAAATAAACTGAATTGAATTTAAAAGAGCAGTGCTTCAATCATTTCAAATTCGGACATTGTCCAACAACATGGAAGATCATGCATAAAAGAGGTTAAACAATCTGGGCTCACCAAGGAGTGGGTATTACAACACTAACCTGTTTTTATGAGAGTCACATTTTTATATGCTCCGCCATAATATCCTAAGCCTCTACACCTAAACTCATGAGTGAAATCTTCTTTTGAAACCTTTTCAATGGTCAGGGTCGCAGTGAAGAAGGTTTCCCCTGAAGGTTGTTCGGTCAGCCTAAGAAAGGAAACATTGTTTGCTTCATCAACACTTTCTAAAAACATAATAGTAAATAATGACAGAAAAACAGTTCCCTGTCAAATTCTTGCTTAGATAATGCTTATACATTGACTGATACTGACGCACAATAGGTACAATACTGTTTAAACTTACAATTTGGTTTCGTTGTATCCCTCCATCTGGTTTACTGGTTTTCCATTAATGTGCCAATTGGCGTCGCAGCCCCGTTTTGCATTAATCCCACAAAAAACTGTGCAGTTCAGCACGGTGCTAGCACCTGGTTAACATAAAGGCATAAAGGCTTATTGCATGAAAACGCATTTTCATTTACCACTTGATGCTTGATTATCATTTCAAACATGCAATAAACCCTTTGTATTAAGTAGTACATAGCCAATAGCATGTCCATTCCCCCAGTGCCAATTGTTACATATTTTGTGGACCATCTTTGGTAAGCTCTTGTTGCCATTGCAATTAGACTCAAACTGTTTATTTTATCATTGACCTTTATAAATGTTTTCACAAATTTGTCATATACATACATTTCTATTTATCTTTAGAATATACAGAATGTTTAAAACGGTCAATTTGGTAGCTACCTAAAACTCTTCGAATATATATATGTTTAATTATACTGATATGGACTGGGTGATGTGTTAGGAACTAAAGGATGCCACATCAATTGATGGAAATGAAAATGATCAACTTACAGAGGGCTGAATTTAAAGACACCCTAATAATTGTATGCATGCCTGACATTGTCGGGGTATGCTTCTAATGAGACGACGGATGGCGTCCTGGGCTATCTACTCCCAGATGTTCTATTGCATTCAGGTCAAGCGAGCATGGGGGCCAATCAATCAATCAATCAATCAATCAATTCCTTCATCCTCCAGGAACTGCCTGCAAACTCTCGCCCCATGAGGCCGGGCATTGTCGTGCACCAGGAGAACCCCAGGACCCACTGCACCAGCATAGGGTCTAACAATGGGTGCATGGATTTCCTCCTGATACCTAATGGCAGTCAGGGTGCCATTGTCTAGCCTGTATAGGTCTGTACGTCCCTCCATGGATATGCCTTCCCAGACCATCACTGACCCACCACCAGACCGGTTATCCTGAACAATGTTACAGGTAGCATAACGTTCTCCACGGCTTCTCCAGATCCTTTCAGGTCTGTCACATGTGCTCAGGGTGCACCTGCTCTCATCTGTGAAAAGCACAGGGCGCCAGTGGCTGACTTGCCAATTCCAGTGTTCTGTGGCAAATGCAAATCAAGCTCCATGGTGCCAGGCTATGAGCACAGGGCCAACTAGAGGACATCGTCCCTCAGGCCACCCTTGTGAGGTCTGTTTCTGATTGTCTGGTCAGAGACATTCACAACACTGGCCTGCTGGAGGTCATTTTGTAGGGCTCTGGCAGTACTCCTCCTGCTCCTCCTTGCACAAAGGAGAAGATACCAGTCCTGCTGATGGGTTGTAGACGTTCTACTGCCCTGTCCAGCTCTCCTGGAGTAACTGCCTGTCTCCTGGAATCTCCTCCATGCTCTTGAGATTGTGCTGGGAGACACAGCAAACCTTCTGGCAATGGCACCTATTGATGTGCCATCCTGGAAGAGTTGGACTGCCTGTGCAACCTCTGCAGGGTCCAGGTACTGCCTCATGCTAACAGAAGTGACAGTGAACCTAGCCACATGCAAAACTGGTGAAAAATAGTCAGAAAAGATGAGGGGGGGGGGGAAATGTCAGGGGCCTCCACCTGTAAAACCATTCCGTCTCGTTGTTGCCCTTCTAGTGCACCTGTTGTTAATTTCATTAACACCAAAGCAGCTGAAACTGATTAACAACCCACTCTGCTACTTACCTGACCAAATCAATATCCCAGAAGTTTAATTAACTTGATATTATACTCTGATTACAAAGTGTTCCTTTAATTTTTTTGAGCAGTGTATATATATAATTCATGCATCAAGGGGTTAAATGTGCCTGTATTTTTTCTTAATCACTAAGGAAAAGGGGGTTTATAAGAAAATAGACACATACTAGCACTGAAGGGTTAATATAACTAAATTGTTGACAAAACCTGAAAAGTATATCACCATACTTGCATGGGAACGCCCTCTATTACAAATGTATACATTTACAGCCCCCTCCCTCCCCCAAACCCTTTTTTTTTTTTTTTTTTTTTTTTTTTTTTTTACATACATTTCCTGCCCATTTAGCCAGTTTTGCTTGAAACCTCCCCTCCCATACCCTCGACAGCTATAAAACTATAAATGTCACTTCCGTTTTCCTGGTTTCAGCCATTGCTCCTCTCTAGGAGGATCATCTCTTTGCCAATACCTTGTTCTAGCTTTCCTAGGTATCTATCCTTGCTCAGTTTGTTCTTGTCAGATTCCCCAGGTATAATGATAATGAGCCAAAGTGGCTCCTCCTGCTTTGGTAACAACTGATGTAAGACAAGATATATATATATATATATATATATATATATATATATATATATATATATATATATATATGCAGCATTCCTAGATTAAGGGTGATAAGTTTCAAATTGCAATCTTGCAATCTCTGTAGGATCTTATGTAATGCCTACTTGCTTAACATTATTTAATAATCAGAAATGAACACACAAATTATAATATATTGTTAAAATGTGAAATTGTGTTCAGCATTTTGTATCAGTAGTTATCCCAAATAATTGGGCTACTGCAGTTTTTTAACGTGTATATCCCTGGGGATGTAAATGCATATCTGAACTGTGGGACATTTAAAATGCTGTCAATGTCATCAAGACCTATAATTAACCTGACAAACAGGACGAAAGTTCAACATGTTGAAACGGAGCAATTTTTCTACATTGTGTTCAGTGTTCTTGTTATCCGATGAAATTCCCCTTTTTTTTCTGAATATATTTCAAACATCTCATAGTCTCTAAAAATACAAATCTATGGAGGGGTACCAGAACGATAGTCTTAATCAATCAAATTATTTTGTATATTCTTGTGATTTTATGACATAAACTCAGACCAGGACTTAACTTTAATGTAACAATCAGTTTTCTTACCTATTTCAACCAGCTGCTCCTTCTCGCTTGGAGAAATGATTTCTACAACAGGATAAATAATAGGATCTGAAAAGAGCAAAGGTGCAAGGTGGTCACAATATTGTCCTTATTAGCCTTTGTTATCATGAGAAACAGGATGACAAAGTGTGTGTCAAGAGAACTACACTAAACAAAAAGTATTTGAACACCGTGCTATTTTCCCGCCAAGTTCTCCTACTTTGAAATATTGGAGGGGTCTGAAATTGTCATCATAGGAGATATGAGCCACTCCTTGGTTATCCTGGGTTTCTGCCTCAGGTTATTATCATGTTGGAAGACCCAGCCTCAAACCTCTCCTTAATACAAAGCATGATGCTACCAGCCTCATGCTTCACATTAGTGATGGTGTTCTTGGGATGGTACACATCATTGTACTTCCTCCAAACATTGTTAGTGGAATTGTGACCAAAAAGTCCTATTTTGTTCTCATCTGACCACATGACTCTCTCACATGACTCCTCTGGATCATCCAAATGATGATCCAGAGGCATACTTGGCTTAAGCAGGGAAACCTTCTGTGCCATGCATGATTTCAAATGATGATAGTGTATTACTAACAGTAACCATGGAAACTGTGGTCCCAGCTCCTTTCAAGTCATTGACCACCTCCTCTCATGTAGTTCTGGGTGGATTTCTCACCTTTCTTAGGATCATTGAGACCCCACAAGGTGAGATCTTGTATGGAGCCCCAGTCCAAGTGAAATTGACAGTCATGTTTAGCTTCTTCCATTTTCTAAGGATTGCTCCAACAGTGGAGCTTTTTTTACCAAGCTGCTTGGAAATTTCCCCATAGCCCTTTCCAGCCTTTTGAAGGTGTACAATTTTGCTTCTAGTGTCTTTGGACAGTTATTAGTTTTGGCCATGTCAGTGGCTGGATTCTTACTGATGGTATGGGGTGGACAGGAGTCTTTATGCAGCTAATGACTTCAAACAGGTGCATCTAATTTAGGATAATAAATGGAGTTGAGGCGGACATTTTAAAGGCAGACTAACTAGTCTTTGAGGGTCAGAATTGTAGCTGCTAGACAGGTGTTCAAATACTTATTTACAGCTGCATCATACGCGTAAATAGTAAAAAAAAAATCATATATTGTGATCTTTGGATTTTTCTAAGTGGGAGAACTTGCAAAATGGGAGGGTGTTCAAATACTTATTTTCCACACAGTGTAAGCATTTCAAGCTGCCATACATTACTGCTATTTGTACTCGTACATTTTTTTAAAGAGTTTTAGGCTCTTGCAACTTTTTTCACCGTTTTAAAAAAGGAAATGTGTAGATATGATCATTTTGTCTGAAAACTTAATTTGATGAAAAACTGAAGCGTAACCTAGAAGCAAAACAAAGCTATAAATCTGTTTTTTTGCCTCTCTTAATTTATAGAATCATAAAAACCTTTCCTCAATATAGTATTTATTAAAGGGGAACGCACGTTTTTTTTTTTACATTGGGCCCTTGATTTTACATTATTACATCATGTTCTACTCACCCATATTAGTTTTGTTACATTTGAAGCTGTTCTGAAGATATTCGGTTTTGTAATCCAAGTAATGTCTTCCTATGGGCAACGACTTGAAGGTACAAACTAAACTGTTCATAATGTATTCTTTATGGTAAGACAGCATTCATAATATGTAGGTGAATCACTGTCCCCCAGACATCCGCGGTTATATATTTTATATTTATATTTTTTTTAAAACAAAGCGGAGTGTGAATGACATGTGGATATATCCTAACCGAATATCTCCAGAACAGCTCCAAATGACACAAAACTCATATGTGTGAGTAGAACATGATGTAATAACATAAAATCAAGGGCCCAATGTAAAAAAAAACAGCGTTCCCCTTTAAGGGAAAGCATATTCCAGGTTCAATGTAAAAAACACTCACCTGGAACAAAAAGTTTCCTGGAACCTGACGATTTGTACTCCTTGTGATTGTGTTTCCAGGTACATACACAGGTGTAGGTATCTTCATCTTTTTTTGTTGCCTTATCCATCCGCAATTCATTTTTATGATGACCAGATAGAAAATTGTTGCCCTGCAGCAAAAAACGGGAAAGATTTCAGAATGGTTGGGCGAAACACTAAGAAAGAAATTAACTATTAACCTTTTGGAAATTGTCTGGTCTTATGATATTTATACCAAATAAAACATGATCAAATATCCATCTCTTGCAAAGAAAAAAACAAGAACCTTGAAAATTATCCTCAGATGTATTACAGTGGTAGTAATATGTAATAATGATTGTTATAGTCATGTTTGCCTGTACCTTAAACCAGGTAAACGTTCCATTAAACGCTGTGCAAGTTTTCACAACGGGATCTGGACAGGTAACGCGTTTATTCCAGTCAGAGATCTTGTTATCTCCATAGTTGAGATTCTCTCGACTGCTTCCGTTGTAGACCGCAATTTTTAGATGGTAGAGGTAACATCCACCTGGAGTAATTTCCCTGTAAGAGAAATTATATTTACAGATAATCTGATCTCAAACTTCAAATAAGAAATACAGTTTTAAGCATATTATGATAAAACAGCAAACTAAACATTCTAAGGATCATGTGACTCTCTTAACACAGTCAATTTAACAATAGATTAAAACTAGGGGATTATCTTAAAACATCTCATGTGTCCAAGGACTATAAACTACTGCAAAGTATAAATTTACTTTTTTATGGTTTCAACGAAGCAGAATTCCATCATATTAAATAAAAACACAGAGATAGTGTCAAAGTGACCAGCAGCACCCTCTCCTACCATATGCTGTGTTTCTGCACGTTCCCCTCACTAACCATAAAATCTATTTAAAAGTATCTCTGTTTACGTATAAAAAAAACCCAGAGTTAGTTGTTATGATTCTGGCCTGTCTGCCTGCTCTGGTCTCCCTGTGTGCAATCATCTCCAGCTAATCACTAAATGGAAGCATTGCTGTGCCGCTGTGTAGCCCCTTATTGCAGCTGCAGGGGGGATCAGAGCAGTGCTCCTTGTCAGTCTGAGAGTCAGTATATTAATGGAAAACATGAAAATATCACGTACAACAAAGATAAAGATTGAACCAAAAAATGGCTGGCATATTTAGAAAAGAGACAATCCTGGTGAGAACCCTAAAAGCAGCTAAAGAGACAAACTAGTTGAACCAAGATTTTTGCAACAGGCAAATATTCCTACCTGGCAGTGTAATGACCTGAATCATTTACACTGATGTTTAAGAATAGGAGCGCTCCACCATGGTAATGTATCATCTGTGTCTCATCTGTGGTAATATTCTGTATCTCCTGCCCACTTTTGTACCAGGTCATATTTTCATCAGGTAGGTTGGGTTCGACCTCGTCAGGCACATAGTAAAATGCTTCCCCTTCCAGAAGTTTGTAAGACTCCGTGTCCAGATGAATACATGAAGAATCTAATGAATGAAAATGAAAGAGAAGAGGATAAGATATCAAAAACAATAACTTTTAAAAGTTAATTTGTCTTTAAAAATGTTGTTATATGCTTAAACCTGTACTTATTTTCTTACAGAAAGATTCTGTATGATTTGACCCAAGTCTTAGCTTAGTTTGATATTTATTCAATGATTTTCCTGCTCTCAGCACATAACTATGCTCTTCTAAAAAACAAACTTACTTAAAATTAGAGACTTGATTCCATCGAATGATTGATGTGACCTGTAACGCTCCTTTACGGCTACATGAGCCCTCCTTCAACTTCAAAACTAAACCCTAAAAAGTTTTACAGCTCTAGCACCCCTAGTGGCTAAAAGTTACACAGCGCTGTCTAATTAGTTGGCTTGATTTAGTTAAAGAAATGATTTTATTAGGGGTTTAAATAGATGGGGTTTGGAGAATGCTTCCAGAATTACTCCTTATTTCTCTGTAATTTGTAAACTAAGTCAAATCAAAAAGATATGAAAGTGTTTCCTTTAAATTTATTTAAGCTGTGGGGTCACATCACATAACTTCTCTTACATCTTCCATTAAGTATCTTACAAGGACATCATTTATGAAGGTTTTTTAAAAATATATTATATTAAAAGATATTTAAAAAAATCACAAGTACAATTTTTTTAAATTAATTTGAACAGGTGTAAAAAAATTGTTACTTGTGATATTTTTTATTCTACAAATACAAAACTAAGACTGTAACTCTCTTTACAACTTCCAATTCACACAATGCACACATAGTTTTGAAACAAAATAACCTTCATAATCATTACTTGTGTTCATGTGGAGCATGATAACATCCATTTGCAGTGCAATTTGCAAAAGCAATATCACTTAAGCTCATCTCTGTTCTTTCATTTATGCTATTTGTGCAAACACTACCTGAATACGCTCCAGGTGTGGCGATCACCAAGATGAAGGATACGAGAAGCCTCGAGACGTCCATTAGCTGAAAGAGACAAAGCGCATTCTCAAACTCTAAGGTTGTGTTCTTGCCTTCTTCTCATATAAGCAGAATGTCCTGATTTGCCTTCTGCTTTGCAGGTATTTTTCTCAAACAGTGTAAAGAGAGTTAGTTTGTCAGGCAACGTCAGCAGAAGATTATGATCTGAACAGTTATGAAATCCTTTTTTTCTAGAAGGTATCAGAGGTAAAATCAGCAATAGTTTTATAAAGGCAATAAGCTGCCTCTTTTCTCTATAATGTAACCAGGCTACATTAATCCTATTAGCAGAGCTGCTTAAATTCCTGATTTTATCCGAAATTTTTAAATGTGATAGTCATTAAAATCTTTAACAGGTAATATGAAAAAAGTAAACTTAGACCAATGAATGAACTAATTAACCATGTAGATTTCCTTTCTTTAATGGAAATCAGGAATGTTTCAAATGCACTTTCACCCAGTGCCCTAACAGAGTCTGGAAAACTGCCATAGATAAAATCTGTTCTCTTCTTAGGATGTTAGCTGCAAGGTTTCTGAGTAAAAGTGTCTTCTTCACATCAATTCAGATTGTTGTTGATATTATGAATTCCCCACATAACGTTTTGCGTAACAATCCAGCAACAGTAGTAGATTCAAAATATTCACTACTGAGATATTTATCTTAGCAGGAATTATAAATTTTTTTCCTACAGGTGTCGAGGAAATCAAATGCACAAAATAAGAGTAGTTGACCCTTAATTTGCCAATGAAATTAGATTTTTTTACTCTTAAAATAAGATAATTAAATAACATGCACTTGAAATAAGACAATATAATTGTCTTTTTCTTATTTTAAATGTAAATTGTCTCACTTGATTCCTCAATTCAAGAAAAAAATGCACTTATTTTAAGAAAAAAATACTTATTTAAATCTACTTTTTTTGCAGTGGGGTTAGAGATTTTTTTTTGCAATACGAGAATAAAGTCATAAAATTATGAGAATAAAGTCATAAAATTACAAGAAACAAGTTGTATTTTATGACAACTCTCACAAGAAGCACTTTCTTCCCTAAAATGATGAATATCGAGCATCATGTGAAGTTATACTTTAGCTCTGGTTTGACAAATAAGGAAATCTTTTAGCATTAAATTGGGCAGGATGTCAAAGTGGACTCAGGTTGCTGTTTGGTGGAGCCGGTCTATGAGGTTCCCCCAGGGAGATAAATCAGAATGAACTTCCATATACACATATTAAATTAAACTATTTCATATAATATACTGAAAAACGTGCATAAACAGTAGTGAAAAGCTCTCACATAAACTAGTGAAAACATTTAACCCTTATATAACCAACAAAAGCTCTCATACAAAGTAGTGAGAAGTGTTCATATAAACTGGTGAAAAGCTTTACATTTCATACATACAACTAAAAAGTTTTCATTCTGAAAAGCTTTCATACATACTGCAGAGCTATTCACTACTGTTAATGCAAAATGTTTTGTCATTGTCTCCTTTCTATCTCTTCTTTCTTTCATCTTTTCTCTTTTTTCCCCCTTTTTTCCCCTTTCTTCTTCTGTTTTTCTGCTCTATTTGCATTGCAGTGTCCATATAAACTGTAAAACTCCCTGCATAATTATTATAAAGCAATTTATATGCATGAAACAAGTGAAGCAATATAGCAATTGCTACGTATACTGCTACACTTGTAAAAGTAAAATATGTTGGGCTCTTTTTGGCATCAAGACAATTATTCTTATTGCCACATTGCCAGACAGGACACTGTTAAAAAAAAAAACAAAAAAAAAATTAATATGTGTATATGGAAGTTAATTCTGATTTATGTCCCTGGGGCAACATCATACTGGTCAGCTGTCATATGCTGGTCGGAGCTCCTTGGGTCGATTTTACAGCTGAATTTATCATTTTTTCTTGATTTCTAATTCTGATTTTATGGAAAACTATAATTTTAACCTTAAATTAAATTAAAATAAATTATTTCCTAAATGATGAATGTATATTGACCTAATATTCCAAATAATAGCCTTATTTGATCCTTTTTTATATATTTATATAGCTATAATTTCTTGAGTTGCTTATTTGCTATGCTAAAGCAGGACGTACACTGTGCAATTTTCGGGGCGATTTTCCGTGCGAGAATCTTTCGGTCAGTCCGACTTTCAGCCTGATCGTGCGTCATGAGTCGTGTATTGTAGAGGGGTTACGAGAGGCGATAAGCCTCTAACGACCACCTCCTGATCGGGAATCGTGAGGTCGGGAGAAAATCAGACATGTTTGATTTTCTCCCGACAGTCGTGGGGAAATTTTTCAGTGCGCATGTGCGAACAAGGATTCTTCTGTAAACACGGCAGCATGGCGGGGATGCAATGAGTGAAATGCAGTTCTGTCTGTAAACTTGACAGATCGTAGTATCAACGTTTGCTCATCCATGTCTTTTTTCTAAATACATCGTCCCCTTTTCTTTTTAGGGCTTTCAGCACAAAATTGCACAAATTGCCAAGGCATCGCGGTTCACTATAGTGAGCCTAATATTCCCCTTCTATTTGCTTGTCTTCCAGACAGATGAGTCAGAGCAGCTCCATCTCACTGCGGAGCTGAGTCTGACTTGGTTTTTAGTCATGCAGTGTAAGCAATTAGATCACATGAGAGCGTTGGGCTGAACATAAATCGTAAGCTAAACTGTGTGCCCTGCTTTGCAATCCGTGTGCACACAGCTGCTCCGGAACCTTTAGAGTTTGATGAAAGTTCAAACTCCTAATGCTCATTAAAGCATCGCACTACACTAAGTCTATGCTTTATATATATAAACTTACCTTGTAGGTGCGACCCATGCATCGAACTCTGAACGTTCCGGAGCAGCTGTGTGCGCACGGAATGCAAAGCAGGGCACACAGTTCCTAGCGCACGGATCAATACACTGAGAGCACAGTTTCTGAATCCATGGGCACGGATTAATAAACCGAGAACACAGTTTCTGAATCCATGGGCACGGATTAAAAAACCGAGAGCACAGTTTCTGAATCCATGGGCACGGATTAATAAACCGAGAGCACAGTTTCTGAATCCATGGGCACGGATTAATAAACCGAGAGCACAGTTTCTGAATCCATGGGCACGGATTAATAAACCGAGAGCACAGTTTCTGAATCCATGGGCACGGATTAATAAACCGACAGCAGTTTCTTAATCCATGGGCACGGATTAATAAATCGAGAGCACAGTTTCTTAATCCATGGGCACGGATTAATAAACCGACAGCAGTTTCTTAATCCATTGGCACGGATTAATAAATCAAGAGCACAGTTTCTTAATCCAGGGGCACGGATTAATAAACCGAGAGCACAGTTTCTGAATCCATGGGCACGGATTAATAAACCGACAGCAGTTTCTTAATCCATGGGCACGGATTAATAAATCGAGAGCACAGTTTCTTAATCCATGGGCACGGATTAATAAATCGAGAGCACAGTTTCTTAATCCAGGGGCACGGATTAATAAACCGACAGCAGTTTCTCAATCCATGGGCACGGATTAATAAACCGAGACCACAGTTTTGAATCCATGGGCACGGATTAATAAACCGAGAACACAGTTTCTGAATCCATGGGCACGGATTAAAAAACCGAGAGCACAGTTTCTGAATCCATGGGCACGGATTAATAAACCGAGAGCACAGTTTCTGAATCCATGGGCACGGATTAATAAACCGAGAGCACAGTTTCTGAATCCATGGGCACGGATTAATAAACCGAGAGCACAGTTTCTGAATCCATGGGCACGGATTAATAAACCGACAGCAGTTTCTTAATCCATGGGCACGGATTAATAAATCGAGAGCACAGTTTCTTAATCCATGGGCACGGATTAATAAACCGACAGCAGTTTCTTAATCCATTGGCACGGATTAATAAATCAAGAGCACAGTTTCCTAATCCAGGGGCACGGATTAATAAACCGAGAGCACAGTTTCTGAATCCATGGGCACGGATTAATAAACCGACAGCAGTTTCTTAATCCATGGGCACGGATTAATAAATCGAGAGCACAGTTTCTTAATCCATGGGCACGGATTAATAAATCGAGAGCACAGTTTCTTAATCCAGGGGCACCGATTAATAAACCGACAGCAGTTTCTTAATCCATGGGCACGGATTAATAAACCGAGACCACAGTTTTGAATCCATGGGCACGGATTAATAAACCGAGAGCACAGTTTCTTAATCCATGAACACGGATTAATAAATCGACAGCAGTTTCTTAATCCATGGGCACGGATTAATAAACCGAGACCACAGTTTTGAATCCATGGGCACGGATTAATAAACCGAGAGCACAGTTTCTGAATCCATGGGCACGGATTAATAAACCAAGAGCACAGTTTCTTAATCCATGGGCACGGATTAATAAACCGACAGCAGTTTTTTAATCCATGGGCACGGATTAATAAATCGAGAGCACAGTTTCTTAATCCATGGGCACGGATTAATAAATCAAGAGCACAGTTTCTTAATCCAGGGGCACGGATTAATATACTGAGAGCACAGTTTCTGAATCCATGGGCACGGATTAATAAACCGACAGCAGTTTCTTAATCCATGGGCACGGATTAATAAATCGAGAGCACAGTTTCTTAATCCATGGGCACGGATTAATAAATCGAGAGTACAGTTTCTTAATCCAGGGGCACGGATTAATAAACCGACAGCAGTTTCTTAATCCATGGGCACGGATTAATAAACCGACAGCAGTTTCTTAATCCAGGGGCATGGATTAATAAACCGACAGCAGTTTCTGAATCCATGGGCACGAAAATAATAAACCGAGAGCACAGTTTCTTAATCCAGGGGCACGGATTAATAAACCGACAGCAGTTTCTTAATCCATGGGCACGGATTAATAAACCAAGAGCACAGTTTCTGAATCCATGGGCACGGATTAATAAACCGACAGCACAGTTTCTTAATCCAGGGGCACAGATTAATAAACCGACAGCAGTTTCTTAATCCATGGGCATGGATTAATAAACCGACAGCACAGTTTCTTAATCCAGGGGCACAGATTAATAAACCGACAGCAGTTTCTTAATCCATGGGCATGGATTAATAAACCGAGAGCACAGTTTCTTAATCCAGGGGCACGGATTAATAAACCGACAGCAGTTTCTTAATCCATGGGCACGGATTAATAAACCAAGAGCACAGTTTCTGAATCCATGGGCACGGATTAATAAACCGACAGCACAGTTTCTTAATCCAGGGGCACAGATTAATAAACCGACAGCAGTTTCTTAATCCATGGGCATGGATTAATAAACCGACAGCACAGTTTCTTAATCCAGGGGCACAGATTAATAAACCGACAGCAGTTTCTTAATCCATGGGCATGGATTAATAAACCGACAGCACAGTTTCTTAATCCAGGGGCACAGATTAATAAACCGACAGCAGTTTCTTAATCCATGGGCATGGATTAATAATTCGACAGCAGTTTCTTAATCCATGGGCATGGATTAATAAACCGACAGCACAGTTTCTTAATCCAGGGGCACAGATTAATAAACCGACAGCAGTTTCTTAATCCATGGGCACGGATTAATATACCAAGAGCAGTTTCTTAATCCATGGGCACGGATTTATAAACCCAGAGCACAGTTTCTGAATCAGCGTGCACAGATTGGAAAACCGTGCGCTCAGTTTATCAGTCCGTTTCCACCAGCCTTTTTTTTTTTTTTACCCTGACAACCAGGGGGCTCCATTTCATATATTTAAATACCTTGCGCGAGGTTCTTTTGCTTCATGCTTTTCTGTGCCCCCATGAACCCCCCCCCCCGCCCCGTGGAACATCTGGCCTCGAACCGCCCCTGCGCTCTGTATTCCAGCAGGGTTTGCTGAAGTCAATCAGAGCGCACATAAACTCCATTCATTTCCCTGCTTACCTCGTTTGCTCAGGTTGACCGTCTTCTGCGTAAAACTTGCGGGTTGATCGCACTCGATTTCCACCCTCGTATTAGAAAAGAAAAAACGAAATCAGCAGATTTCAGATGATCCACCTGCAAAAGCAGATCAATGAGCAAAAAGCAGAACAGTTGCAAACAGCGCTGGATGCGGAGCTATTAATTATTACTATGGGAGCTGTGCTTCAAAAACTGAAGATCATTGTCTGTCTCTCCTCTTTATATACTGTACCTCCCAGTCCTCCAATAACGGGCTGAGTGCTTCTTCATATTATGTAAAGTGGATAACTCGGAAATTAATGCAATGAAAAAAAGCCCACGTGAGTTAGAAATTCCGCCAATCTATGACTAAGTGCACCTGAGTGAAGACAGAGAGACTGTACATCCACTAAACGCTTCTCCCAGCTACTAAATATAGATTGCTTTTCCTGGTAACATCACAATTTAATACAAAGATGAAAACATATAGAGGTTCTGCAAAATGTATTTTTTATATTCTATTCATTTATGTGGATGCCAGACTGCTGGTATCCCGGAAACATTTGTTTTGATGGAATCTAGGATTATTGTGGAAATGTTAAGAATTACCCAAGACTTATTATTAATTCATATTTTACTTATAAAAGGACAATGAATAATAAAAAAATATAGAAAATCTGCCTTAATATTAATTTATTTGGGGAGCAGGAAAAATTATGAAAATCACATGTGTTGATGCTCTGATTAATCCCTTCAATAGAATTTTTTTTGTATGTGTCTTTTAAGTTGTTTAGAGTTTCTATAAGCTTTTATCTTAAAATGTATGGTTGCCCGTGTGGGGCCCGTGTGAAACCCAGCCTTAGCCCATGTGGGCTTGCCCACAAGGGGCCACCATGGAACCCATGGAAAAATAGCATGTGGGCTGGTGAGTGGGCCCCAGCTATATATCCTATATATATGAAAAAAAAAAAAAACTCAAACTTGAATACAATAATTTAAACATACTTTTGTCTAATGGTATTTTGTTCACACCCACGGGCTCCATAGACAAACCTATCTGAGTGCCTATTATATTTGGCTGTAGTCAGGCGCCTAGCCTTAATTAGCGTTACATTATGCCTATAACAGGTATAAGATGTATTAACCCCCAAAATGAGCCAAGATTAAAGATTTTCATTAAAAACAGTCAGATTTGTTTCTACTGTATTCCATGCAATCCAATCAGCCACCATTGCCTGAAAATGAGTGAAAGGAAAATGGAAAAAACAGATTATTTGCGCACATGCGGTACCGCGACGGCACAACTACGGACACCGCAGGCATGGATGGACTGGGAACCCAGGGCTGTTGACCAGCCATCATTCATTACTCAAACAGGTTAATCATCTCATTTTCTCAAGAAATCAATACCTGTTTTCTCGTGCTAACGAGATAATTATCTTGTTATCTTGAGAAAACAATTAATTGTTTAATCATGATAACGAGATAGTTACGTCGAGAAGACAACATGAAAAATAAATAAAATCGAGCACGCCCACTCTCTTCCGTACGACCCGCTTGGTATAAGCGTGACGGATGGATCTATGGATGTATGACCTTCTGTCCCACTTAGGTGTAAAAATTGTGCCTCGTAAAAGTATACATACTTGCATACCCATAGTTTTTTTTTTTGTTTTTTTTTACAACAACAATCTTAATCAGAGATGACAACAACCAGGAGTACAGAGAGGAGGTGGAGCAGCTAGTGGACTGGTGCAGACACAAAAGCCTGATCCTGAATGTGGAGAAGATGAAGGAGATCATCTTGGACTTCAGGAAGAACCGGCCTAACCACACTCCACTGCTCATCAACAGCTCAGCTGTAGAGGTGGTCAACAGCACTAAATTCCTCGGAGTGCACATCACAAACACCCTCACCTGGACTGTAAATGCCACCTCACTGGTCAACAGGGCACAGAAGCGCTTGTATTTCCTGCAGAGGATAAGGAGCGCCCACCTGCCCCCATCCTTCCTCACCACCTTCTACAGAAGCACAATAGAGAGCGTTCTGACCAGCTGTCTTACTGTGTGGTGTGGAGGCTGCAGCTCCTCAGACTGGAAGAAGGTGAGAAGAGTGGGAGAACAGCAGAGGGGTCCATTGGGGCTCCTCTTCCCTCCATAAAAGACATTTCATCCCAGCGCTGTGTGTCCTGAGCCCATAACACCATCAATGACCCCCCACCCCCCCACCATAGACTGTTCTCCCTGCTGCCCTCTAGGAAGCTAGGAAGAGACTTCTAAGCATTCAATGCAGGTCAAGGAGATTCAGCTTATTCCCCACTGCAATCAGACAGCTGAACTGTTGAGAAAACTCTAAATTATGGCACAATATGTCACATCACACTGATAACACCAAACCAAAACACTGCATAGTTGCACCATATATATGTAATGCTCTGAACTTGCACAATGTTTTTTCTCCCACTGTTTACATTTGATCACTGCTGCACTTTAAGAAATGGAAATGAAAGCTATACAAAGCTAAATTTTGTGTCGTATACACTTTGTGTATACAAAACAACAATAAAAGCTGTCTAAGTGGTTGAATTCTATAGATATGTATATGAAAGTAATATAGAAAGTAGTTCATGAAGGTGTTGTTAAAGGAAAAAGATAAATTACCTTTGAAAAATAAAGACATACAGTGAACTCCGCAATTATTGGAACAGCTGTTTAAGATGTGGTTGAGGGCTTAAAAAAATTCTCCTTTTCCTTTAAATAACAAAGAACCCAAATGCAAAAAAAAAGAGAAAAATCCAACCTTTTATTTAAATACATTATTTTGGTGGTAAAAATAAAATCACACATTTAGAAAACAAAAAAACATGAAATCATGTTTCCCACAATTATTGGCACCCCTAACAATTCCACTAAAAATACAATTGATTTCCTTTAATTGTATTTTTTTATATTTGCTAAAGTTGGTTAGGATATCTAGGAACTTTTAATTAGTAATTCATGACTTCCTGTTTCCCTGGGATATAAATATGACATGACGTAGAGGCCTAATTCTCTTACCAATTAGTCAGCATGGCAAAGACAAGAGAACACACAATTCAAGTAATGCAGATGTGCGTCGACCTTCATAAGTCAGGCAATGGTTACAAGAAAATAGCCACTCACCTTAACTTGCCTGCATCTACAGTCAGAGGAATCATTGATTGTTTGACAACTGGAACAGTGACAAACACGGCTGGAAGAGGTCCTACGTCTATCTTACCACAACGCACAGATAGGAGGATGGTAAGAGAAGTAAAAAAAAGTCCTACGCTTACTGTCACAGAATTGCAACAAAGAGTGGAATCTTGGGGTCACAAAGTCTCCAAAACAACCATCAGACGCTCCCTACATGCCAACGAGCTGTTTGGAAAGCATGCAAGGAGAAAGCCTTTTTTCACAAACACTCACAAACGTAAACGTCTGGAGTTTGCTAAGCAGCACTGGGACTTCAACTGGGATCATGTGCTTTGGTCAGATGAGACTAAGATTAAGCTTTTTAGCAACAAACGCTCTAAGTGGGTATGGCGTAAAACAAAAATGAGTATGCCGAAAAGCACCTCATGCCCACAGTAAAGTATGGTAGAGGATCTGTAATGCTGTGGGCCTGTTTCTCTTCCAAAGGCCCTGGGAACCTTGTTAGGGTGCATGGCATCATGAACGCTTTAAAATACCAGGACATTTTAAATGAAAACTTGATGGCCTCTGCCAAAAAGCTGAAGATGGGTCGATATTGCGTCTTTAAGCAGGATAATTATCCGAAACATGTGGCAAAATCTACACAAAAATGGTTCCGCAGTCACAAAATCAAGGTCCTCCCATTGCCATCTCAGTCCCCAGACCTCAACCCGATCGAAAAGCTGTGGAGTGAGCTAAAGAGGAGAGATTAAGTGCTGCCTTGTTGGCAAAAGGGTAAAAAGTATTAACATCAGGGGTGCCAATAATTGTGGAACAAATGATTTCACATTTTTTGTTTTCTAAATGTATGATTTTATTTTTACCACCAAAGTAATGTACTTAAATAAAAGGTTGGGTTTTTCACAATTTTTGTATTTGGGTTCTTTGTTGTTTTTAAAAAAAAAAGAGAATTTTTGAAGTCCTTGCCGACATCTTAATCAGGGGTTCCAATAATTGTGGAGGGCACTGTATATGTCATGATCCCAGCCCCTGTAGCTGATCTACGGTAATTACTCACTTCATTCACCTGCTGTAACCTCCCCGCTATCTAATTATTAATCATCTTATCCACCTGCTCCTTCTGCATTATATAGGTTTCAGCCCAGCTATTGGGGCTAGATCATTATTCATGTTTGTCCAATATGTTTTCTGTTTCGTTAGTTAAGTCCGTGGTTCATGTCCGGACTCTGTGGGACCTTTGTGTCAAGAGGGTTTTAGTGTTTGTATCCGGTCTCCTGTTTGGTTACCGCCTCTTCTAGATTGAGCCGGTTCCGGTCATGTTTGGCTCGCCATGTGGTGGGAGGTTGGGTCCTGGCTCTTCTCTCTGAGGGGTGGGATCCCGTGATCCTGATTCCTGGTTGGAGCCAGTTTAAAGGTCTGGAGTTCTCCCGGTACCATGTTTTGTCTCTGCTCCTGTCAGCCACTGGTCCTGCCTGTCTCCATCTGAGCCTGGCTGTCTGAGTTTACTGCTGAACTCTGAACCTGCCTGAATGCCCTGTGGATTCTTGGAACCCTGGATCTGTCTGTTCCTGTTTTGATCGGAACCCCCTGGATATCAGAACTCTTGTTATGAACTGTTTCCCTGATCTGGTTCGGATTCCTTTCTGCTCACTGGGGCTGCTGCATCGGGGAAGCTCTTAATAGCTTCCGCAGCATCTCGTTGGCAGTGCATTGTCTGGATCCTGCCTCACCCTAGAGGATGAACTGAACTGAGTGTCAGTTATGGGCGATACTCCACCCTCCCCACAGCTTTTTCCGTTTTGTTTTCTGTCTTGTCATTAAACATTTTGAAACTTCCCACTGTCTGTCTCGCCTAAATACTGAGCCGTTCTGCCCCGTTTCATGACAGTTAAACCATAAAAACCTAAACCATTTATACTTTTCTGAAAATGATGGGAGTTGCTAGTTGTAAGTAAGGATCTTGCATGGCACATTTATAAAAGCACGTATATTACATATTTTTCTGTTTCGTTTTGCTGTTTTAT